TCTGAAACAAGTAACCCTCCTGGTTGGAGGGCTTCTCACACACTCCTTACAAACATATTCAAAAAGGGCACTTGGCTTCTAACTGCGTTTTCTCTCTCTCTCTATCACTGGGAGCTTGTTGAACTGGGTCAAGCCCTCTTTTTTCACATAATGTTAACACATTGATTGCTATCTCTGCAACAATTTTGTAGCTTGGTCTGCATGAATCTTTTGGTGTGGCACCTTACATTATTAGCACTGAAGAAATTCCATTTTGCTTTTCAAATTTCATTTCATCCCTCAAATTAAACAGATAAGCATCATGCATTCCTTACAATGTTATACTGATGCCAGCAGTTTTTGCTCCCCTAATTCTGGCTCTTTTTTTCCTTACAAAAATAAATTTAGGTTGCAATCCCATGCCCACTTATCTGGGAGTTAGTCCCATTTAACTCAGAATGTGCTTTTGAGGAGAGATATTTAGGATTGCACTGTCAGTCACATCCCCCAAGAGAGGCTGGCTTTGGAAATACTGGCGCTTAGAATCCTAGATATTTCTTAACTAATTTCACGTAAGATGAGATTAGAATTGGCTTGATGCTTTGTGGGCAAAGATGGCATTAGCAAAGGAAAGGTGCTCAGGGCATTATGACTTACTAGAGGCCTTGTACCCAATGTTGTTCAGGAATTCTAAGAAAAGTCCATTTTCGAAAAGTCCAGTCTGCCATCTTGATTCAAAATGATGTTCAGTTGTATCCAAACTTATGTGGAAACTCTGGTCCTTGATCTTGGGAACCAGCTTGCAAATTTTGGTTATGATATCTTAAGAGGTGTTCAATACATAGGAGACAGACAAAACAACTTTCCAAAACATATAGTAGATTTCATCCATGGTGCTGATTGAAGCATAGGAGGCTTTACTGAAACTCTAGGGGAAGCTCTGCCCTCTTTATATGACTGAAATTATACATGCAGCTTCCTGTAAAAGAGTGTGTTGCAAATTAGTTTATTATAACTTCTACCCCCCTTGCCCTTCAAGCAGTTTCATAGGCAGCTTACTAACTAACCAAATAAATAAATAAATAAATAAATAGCTATAATTTAAACAAATATGCACATACTAAAAGCATATTATAAAAAAGAAGCATAATATCACCAGCAGAGATTGAATGCATTGCATTAGATTAAGAGGCCTGGAAGAATTTTAGAAAGATGTTGCCTGATGCTGAAATGACAATGTAGGCGGCAGGCAAGCCTTGAGCCTTCTTTTAACAGGCAGCACCACAGAAATGGTCCTTTCCCATTAGCCAGCTGTTGCATGTTGGGTGGGGTGGCAGGGATACCCAGATAAGGGCCTCAGATATCAAAGTCTTAGTATCTAGGCAGGCATATTTGAAGATGGGTGTGCTAGCCCCCAAACCAGCATTTTGAATTGAGGCCTGAAATGGACCGGGATCCAGTGCAGTTGATGCAGCACTGGTGTGGTACGATCATAATAATGCCTGGTACCGTGTCACTCTGGAATGGCTGAGCGCGGGGCCTTAAAACAACTTCTCCCTTTGTGGGGAATGCTGCAGGCCAGCAATGTGATGCAACCTTCACTCCCTGCAGGAATTTGTGCTGAGCTCTTTCTGCTCTGGAAAAACAAGTTTGTCTTTCATGCTCCACACCCACAGGACCAGATTCTCTCTCTCTCTCTCTCTCCCCCCTTTAAATGTCTTAGTGCTGCCTCTCAGGACTCAGTGGAGGAGGAGGAGGAGAAACATTATCTCCCTCTAATTCCTTTTGTATTGTGCTGAGCTGTTTCATCTGCTTCCTAGGTCCTGGTGAATTGAGAACAGATTGCCACTCTGCTTTTTGAGGCGGCACAACTTTGGGAAGCTGTGCTTTGAAGGCTGTCTCTGGCACGGCGCACTAAACTCCTATTGTACTGCCGGGATAGTGCATTGCTTTGCCATTGCTGGCAAGACCCAGTTTCTCACAATCCCTGCTTTGTACTGCCTGTGTGCTGGAATGACAGATACGTGAGACTTGCTCCGGTGGCTGTGAATCCTGAGTACACTCGGTTAACCCCTGTGGAGCTATTGCTCCTCCTGCAAAGTCGCCTTCCTCCTTGTGCACCAGCATCCAAGCCCCTCTTTTTCAAAAGGGGCAGCTCTCAGAACATTGCTTTGAGCTAGAGGAATGGCTGTAGCTCAGTGGCAGAGTATTTACTCTGTTTGCATGCAGAAGGTCCAAGGTTCAGTCCCCAGGCATCTCTGGGTAGTGCTGGGAGAGACTCCCATCTGAAATCCTGGAAAGTGACAGCCAGTCGGTGTAGAGCAGGTATGGGGAGCCCTTGGCCCTCCAGATGTTGCTGAACTGCAACTCCCTTCATCACTGCTCATAGGCCAGCGGTGGCCAAACTTGGCCCTCCAGATGTTTTTGGACTACAACTCCCATCATCCCTAGCTAACAGGACCAGTGGTCAGGGATGATGGGAATTGTAGTCCCAAAACAGCTAGAGGGCCACTACTGCTAGGCTATCCTTTTGCTGGGGCTGATGGGAGTTCTAGTTCAGCAACATCTGGAGGGCCAAAGGTTCCTCACTTCTGGCGTAGAGACAATAATGAGCCAGATGGACCCAATATTCTGGTTTCGTATAAGGCAGCTTCCAAGGTTCCAGAATACCTTTAGTAAGCCTATGTTTGTGGTAATACCTTTTTATCCTGGGCTGTGACTCCCCGTCATGTATTTCTTTTTAGTATGCTATCTGTTCTCTCTTTACGTCGGAGCGTGGCATCTTTGCTGGAATTGTGGCTGTAATTTGTTTTAACTGATTGCAATACTGTATTTTTAAATCATTGTAAACCTCCCTGAGACCTCATGGCAAAGTGCAGGTAAGAAACAAAAAAAGTAGGTGGAAGTGCATGAGTCCTCCTTAGATTACCGTATAATAATCCCGTTGACTGCTACAGCCTTGCCTTGAACATGGGCAATAGAACGTTCTTGCTCGGAAGGTGGTGGACTCTCCTTCCTTGAAGGTTTTTAAGTAGATGTTGGATGGCCACCTGTCATGTATGATCTAGTTGAGATTCCTGCATTGCAGGGGGTTGGACTAGAGGCCCCTGGAGTCCCTTCCAACTCTGATTCTATGAGCACTGCCTTGCTTCAATTCCCCTGTCCCCACAGGTGGAGTGTCATGCTAAGGAAAAGGGGCTTAACATTTTCTTTCTGCTCCAAGTATCTATCACCGCTTGTGGGGTTTCCGGTTATAATGACCTCGGTTTACAGCAGCCTTGCAAATAAGCTGTCAGAATTTATCAGCCTGTTTTTACTAGTCTGCTGAAGACTGGCAGAGGAGAGCCCATAAGTTCTGTCCCTTCTGAAGCAGCCCAGTGCAGAGGAGGAGTCCTTTGGTTTCTACACTGGGCAGGGGGGAGTGTCTGTTCCCAGTCCCTACTCTCTCTCTCTCTCTCTCTCTCTCTCCCCCCCCAAACACACTTTGGCCCTCTTAATTGCTCCTTGCTCCCTTTTTTGTTCCTTCTATATTGGTCTTTCCTATCTGCAAAACTGGGTTTCTGCCCTTGTGGATTCATTTCTTTTTCTTTTTTTTAAAAAAGGCAGCAACCGGATATTGGCGAGAGTGGCAAAGAGTTAGGAGGATAACGCAGAACAGAGAAGCTTCAGTAATTATTCACCTCCCCATCCCCCCCATCCCCCATGATAAGGAACCATCCATATATATATTTATATATATGAACTGATCCTTTGTTGTCCTTGGAACTGTGCTATCCAATTTTAGATTCCAGTTCATCTATTTTCACTGCCCTTGAGTTCAGCTCTGTGTGTGTGTGTGTGTGTGTGTGTGTGTGTGTTTGAACATGCTATGGAGCACATGTTTTGCAATCAGAAGCCAGACACTTGCCGTTAAAAGGCGCTTCATATCTTTGGAATAATGTAATAGGCTGATAAAAGGAAAATGCATTTCAACATCAATGTTATTATTATTTTAGTTGAAGGGATCTCAGCCACTCCTTTCAGAAATGAGTGCCTGCTTCTTGGGTATCTTTTCAAAAAAATAGGTTCTAAAGTCAAGACATATTTACTATGTGGATATCTGACGTACTTTTGTCTCAAGTCATCTGTGGTCCATGATTGCACACTTGACTGCCTACATAGAAGTTACACTAGAAATTAGTAAACATCAAGTATGTGCACATTTGGATAGTACTGAATAGGTGTCTCATCCATTTGAAACATCGTTCCACAACTTGCCCCTTCCAGATGTTTTGGACTACATCTCTGATCTCTGATGTTTTAATCTAAAACAGCTGGGGGTGAGCAGCAGGTTGAGGAAAGCCGGTACAGTCAAACCTCAGTTGTCGGATGTAATTCATTCGGAAGCCCGTTTGGCTTCCGAAATGTTTGACAACCGAGGCGCAGCTTCCAATTGGTTGCAGGAGCTTCCTGCACTCAAGTGGAAGCCGCGTTGGACGTTTGGCTTCTGAAAAATGTTTGAAAACCGGAGCATTTGCTTCCTGGTTTTTGACGTTTGGGAACCGAAACATTCCAAAACGGAGCCGTTCAGGAACCAAGGTTTGACTGTATCAACTATTTTTAAATGGGCAATGGTATAAATTTCTGTGCCAGATAATTAGCCAGATATCCTAAACCTACATTTCTCTATAGAATGCTCTGTCATGACAGACTTGAGAGCTCTGGAAGTAGCTTATTTCAAGTCTGGCCCTGCCATGTGGCAGTGCGAAGTGATCACCTTCAGGCAGCACCATGGAGTGGGTAAACAGATGAAGGCAGGAATTTGTGCCTGAATGGTGCCAGTGAGACTTCTAAAAGCATTCTTAGGGCACTATTGGGGATGTGTACCAGGCACCAAAATGTCTTGAGACAGCACTGACTAGCTGGAACTACATTATGTACAAAGGAGCATTGAGCACTCCTTAAACTGAAGGCCTTTGAGCCTACAAAGCTATGTCTCTCTGACATCTCTCATGTCTCTCATTTTCCCCTTCCTTTTTTAGGTATGACTCTGGGAAGGATGGTTACATTGACCTTATGGAACTGAAGCTGATGATGGAGAAGCTTGGGGCACCTCAGACTCATCTGGGCCTGAAGAACATGATCAAGGAAGTGGATGAAGACTTTGATGGCAAACTCAGCTTCCGTGAGGTAAATGTCAGCAGAGAATAAAATGTAATGCAAAACCAAATGGGGGATAAAAATGTGGAACTTCTGCTATCACAACGAATGTGTCCCTTCACCAACTCACTTCCTCCTTCAAGCCTATGCTGTTTGGAGCAGCTGTGCTTTAACTTCTGTGGAAAACTCCAGCTTGTTGAACACCAGATAGCAATTTCCCAGGCTCAGGTGTTGTGGCATGATACTAGATTGAAAGTCTGAGGCTTGAAGGCCAGAAGAATTTTTAACCTAGACATTCCATGTTGCAGGTAAAAGAGTTAAGAAATAATCATCTCGTTTTTCTTATATGAAAACTTCTGCCTTTCTCTTTCCTAAACAAGAGAAAGCTGAACTAATTCTGAACAATTTTCTTTTCTTGTGACACTACACTCAGCTGTTCATGTCACGGTTTGCAAATGTCACCTGCTTGTAGCAATGCTATTACATATTTCAATTTCTGGGGTTCAGGGCCACATTGTAATAAATTATTCCCTTCATTGTAGCAGTAGGTATAGAAGGGGGCATTCTCAAGTGTGCACTAAAGCATGAGTATTGTCTAGCTCCACTTGCCTGAAGAGGCAGAAGAGCCAGAAAATGTAATCTAGGCCAGTGTTTCCCAACCTTGTGCCTCCAGCTGTTTTTGGCCTACAATTCCCATCATCCCTTGCCACTGGTCTTGCTAGTCAGGGATGATGGGAGTTGTAGTTCAAAAACAGCTGGAGGCACAAGGTTGGGAAACACTGATCTAGGCATCCCCAAACTCACCCTCCAGCTGTTTTGGGACAACAGTTCCCATCATCCCTGACCACTGGTCCTGTTAGCTAGGGATGATGGGAGTTGTAGTCCCAAAACATCTGGAGGGCCAAGTTTGGGGTTGCCTGATGTAATCCTTTCTGAGTGTGAGTGCCTCCAACTCCAATGTTTTTATTATGCTTATATTTTATTCTATGTTATATTGTTTGCCAAGTATGGCCCAAAAGGCACCATTTAGAGAAGTGCTACCTGATGCCCCAGTTGCTCCTCTAGCAGGTGTGGCAATGGTGACAGATTTTTCAAGCAGGCCACGTGAGCTGTGGGACGTTGGCCCTTCCACACACACACCCTCAAAATATGCCCAAAGCGTCCAGCAAACCACCCCCTGATAAGGTTATTATGCTAAATTAATTCTCTCTTAATGGAACCCAGACACCTGCTTTGCTGCTGCTGCTGCTCTAATTTGTTCTGCGCAGATTCATTCTTTGTCCTTGAAGTATTATCTTGACTTACTGAAGGACAAGTAGGGCAGAACAGCTTTCTCCAAATCTGCCTCTCCTGTTACCTACCTGTGACAATGAGTAAACGATCGGAAATAAGTTGAGAAAGGTGTCATAACCTTTCTCCTTTTATTTCTTTTTGTCAGATAACAAACTATGCAATAAAAGTGACCAAGGGACGTGTTTTGTCTTCATGAAGGCCACTTTCACACAACAGCTAGTTTTATGATTGGGATGGCTAAGTCTGATTTTGTTTGGGTTCAGCATTGGCGAGGGAACTGCAGTCTAAGGATGTATCATTCTCTCTGTGTCGTGTGTGTGTGTGTGTGTGTCTGTCTCTGTCTGCCTTTGCCTTTGCCTGTATGCATGAATATTCATACACACAGTGGTAGCTGGGGCCCGTTGTGACTGGTAGGGCAGAAAGCAGGGAACCTAGACCATAGATTGAGCTAAAGGCATGCCTAGGGGTTGATGAAACCAGTCCCTGCTGGGGTGCAAAATGGTTGTGTGTTGAGACAAGAGCTGGGAGCTGAGCGGTAGGAGATATGGCAAAGCGGTATGAAGGTAGATCACTGGAGACTATGGAATGTATAACATATATGTGATGCTTTTTACAGTAGGAAAGAAATGGAAGAGCAGTAACTTTTCTTGACAGTAAATAAGTTTGAAACTTTTTCTTTCTCATCATGAGAGCTAAAAGAGCAGGAGGAGGGGATAGTGCAAAGTTACTTGCTTTGCAAGAGAGCATTTTGCTTGCCCACCATGGTCTTGCAGATCAGCACAAAAAAGATGATTCATTAGACATGCCACATTCAAGGAAATTAGAACTGCTTTCTCTGCATTTTAAAAATAGGATTAAGGAAGTAGATGAAAAGAGTGATTTGTGCCGATCTGTTGCAACTGAGGAACAAGCCTATAAAAGGCTGCAAAATTGCTCTCTGGGGGAATGTGTGATTCTGTTCAGGCTGAAGCCAGCTAGAAGTTTCAACCTAGAAATAAGCAACTTGTCCCTGTTTACTTCCTATTACTTGGCCTGTGTGGCTCTTACTGTTGGCCACCAGCAGCAGTTGAGCATCGTATTTATTTCCATATTGATTCTGGCTGCACCTTGTGCCCTCTGCTACAGGAAAAGGAATTCCCCAGGGAGGTTCATTTCATACCTCTGAAACTTGTGCAGCTGTTTGCTTTTGTAATGGTTAGTTATTCCACCGTACCTTTCCCAAGGGGTGTTTTAATAAAGTTAATTTTGTACTTATCAACCCATCAATATATCACCAATTGCTTCCACACCATTCTAGCCCAGATCCCAAGGTGAAGAAAGTTGCTGCATTTAAGCAATATGCCTGCAACTTTTCTGTATCAGTGTCTGCTGTTAGTAACATGGGGCCAATATTCAGATATGATACATGTGGACCCGCCCTTTTCCTACTTATAAAAAATTGTGTTGTGTAGAAATAGACTCAGCCCCATTATCCACACAGTGGTCTAAAGCATCCTTTAAATCACTACTCTGAGGCTTAGCTACTATGTTGGATGTATGGGTTTCTTTACTTACTTTCTGAAGAGCACGCAGTAGGCATACAACTTTGCAAAACCTGAACACACCCACGCCTTGTGGATTATGTCCCCAAAAGTTTATGTAGCAGTGTGAAGAATCTCTCCAGAAGGCATTTCGACAATGTGAACGTGCTCAAATCATTTGCCATTTACACAGAATAGTCCCTTCTACCCCTGCGCATAGATGATCTGGACTTGGCAGCTTGCACCTATGACTTGTTCCCAGCTGTTTAGTGAGTCATTCCCACATGCCTTTTCTGGCTGTGTCAGCTGGTACAACAGCATATTTCCCTCCTTTCTCAGCCAAATGGAGGAACCTGCCCAATGCAGAACTCTGGAGTATTTGCTCACTCTGCTACAGCTGGTCATGCCAACGTGTTTACAGGGACCAACCTGACATTCCTTGGACTAGAGTGGGTCTTGGATCTCAGAACATTTGCTGGTAATAGACCTTTGGGTGCTTCTTCTGTGAAGGGGTGTTGTTGGAACAAGGGGAAGTAATATCTAGTATAATAGTGATCCAAGCAAGCGTCAGAAAATCTGAAAGCCAGGGGGATCTCCATTGGCCACATTGCAACTGCAGCTTCAGTTTGTTTGGAACAGACTGTTCTGCATGTGATGTGCTTACTTCTGTTTGAGGAAAGGGTGAATGGGATGCTCTCCCAGTTAGCTGGACCTGTTATTCAAATAAATCTTAAATCTGTTCGTGTATAGCTTCTAGCCCACAAAGGTCACCAAAATGGACAAGCCAGCAAACCAGCTGCTTATACCAGGCTTCTTTCAATATGGTAGCTGTTTCTTTATCACTTTGATAGGTCACCACTGAAGCTGAGAGGATCCATGGCTCAGTGGTGGTGAACGTAATTGACATGCCGGAGTTTATTATTTATTTTTTGTTGATGTTATTTATTAAATTTGTATGCCACCCTTCATCTGGAGATCTCAGGGCGGTTCACAGCATAAAAATAGAAAATTAAAAAGAAAACCATAATAAAAACAAGAACAAACCATTAACATCCCTCCCCCACCCACACATTTAAAAGAATATAGGATGTTAATCAACCCAAAGCATGGCTAAAGAGGAATGGTTTCAGGGTCTGGGTAGGTTCATATGAAGAGAGGCGGTCCTTGAGGTACTGCAGTCCTGAGCCATTTAAGGCTTTATAGGTGAAAAAGAATTGAATTGGGCCCACTAATCTGCAGCCAGTGCTGTCCAGCCAGGAACAGTGTAATATGCTCAAACCGTCTTGCCCCATTGAGCAACCTTGCTGCCAAATTCTGTACCAGCTGCAGTTTCCAGAGTGTCTTCATATAACACGCTTCAGTCATCTAACCTAAGAGGTTATCAAAGCATAGACTACAGAAGTTGGGAGTGCACCTTGCTCTAACAAAGGAACCTTTGAGAGCTCGCTTCCAGCTCTTACCTGTTTCTCTACAGCCAGATTGGGACTTGCCCAGCACCTGACATCACATATGACAATGTGTGGAGCAGGTGGGCATGGTTTCACAGGTCAAGTGGGGAAGTTTATATATTCCTGAGCCCACCCTCAACAGGAAGTAGTGATTCTGTAGGGTAGAGTCCAGAAAATCCATAATAATTGCCGCTGTCATCTCAGGCAGGGTGGCACTGTAATCAAATCCTTATTTAGACCTATTTGCCCACCACCAGGTAGAAGCCCTCCAACCTGGCAATGGACTGGACAAAAAGTCTAGCCAAGTGGTATAGAATTATTACAGATCACCACAACCCTTTTCTGTTGGTCCTGCACCAAGATCTCAGGTGGGGCACAGCTGGTTAAAAACCAGCTTCTTCCAGTTTATACACCCAGGACTCAGAGATTCAGGGTTGGCACCTTCCTCGGTCTCTGTTAAATGGATCTCTGCTAGAGACTGGTGAGCTGCTGCCAGGCAAAGTAGATGGTATTGTAGATGGACTAATGTATCACTATAAAAGGCAGCTTTGTAACTGCGTACATATTTTTTTCCAGCTGCAGAAAAGCTTTTAGCCACTTGCCAAGTATCGGAAGCAAAATTATGCTACTCTCAGAGGGGAATCTAGTGGGAGGGGTGTTAGCCCAGTCGTAGAGCCCTTCCCTCTATCCTTTCCCAGTTTTCAGCCTCTGGAGTGAGTCATGGCAGTGTCATGGCGGTGTCACTCTTGAGGGATGTGTTGAGGCTGGGAATGTGATTCAGTATAAGGACCTGTCAAGCACACTGCGGCAGCAAAACTTACCAAACATTTGGCTGGACACACCCATCCTATATTTGCTGCTAGAAAAGAGCCCAGCAGTTTCGTAATGCTCCCCCTCCCATCCCTGAGGGACTTTGGGAATTTTTCAACTTTGTTTTTTTTAAAACGCTGAATTAGTAAGCAGCTGGGAGCTTGGGGGGGCATGCGGGGGGAAGCTTGGGAACAAAGGGTTCTGCCAGATGCCTAATTTCCTGATGAAAGAAGCTGGATGCAGTTTCTGGTATCTTGCATGCTACCCTGTAGTGAGAGAATGTGAGCTTTTCAGAGGATGGAAACCCACCCTGATCACACACATACGAAATTTGAAAGCCGAATTACTGTGGTACTGGCATTCCCTGTTTTGATGTTTTATGCTATTTTAGGACCTTAGATGAGTCCTTTGACTATAGAAGAAGAGTTGGAGTATTGCAGTTTTAGCACTTGGTGCTATTTAGTTTGGAGCCACTAGGCCAGTTTGCACACAGCAGTAAGCTGTGGTGTATTGGGACTGAGCAGTATGCTAGTCCACCTTGCCTGCTCACTCTGGCTCTGGTCCTTCCCCTAGGTCTGAGTAGGGGCAAGGAGCCATGAAGTCTTGGCTTGCCATTAGGTCCAAATTGGGATTGCTCCTCCCTTTCATGCTGATAAAATGATCACCCTTTTTAAGATAGAAACCAACCACCATCCCATGTTTGGATATAATGACAAGCCAAGGCTTCATGACTTGTTGCTTGTGCCAGAGGAGGAATGAAGCCGGAGTGATTAGAAGTGCTAGGGGACGGTGCACTAGTATCTCAAGAAGTCAGTGATCTGGTGAAGTAACTGTGTTCAGCATCAGCCTGAAGAAATGAGCAGGCCAGATAAGGTGCTATTGAGTGCTATGTCACAAATTCACCATTTTAAATGTAACTTGGGGGGCAGGGGGAGACATGGAGAATGAAGAAGGTGCAAGGTATTAGGAAGAGAGGCAGCATGAGACATCTCTCTCTCAGACCAGTCACACACAAGCTTGTGCCTCCATATACTCCCAGCTTTCCCAGCTCAGTCTAGTTTCTTCAAGTGTCATAGGGTAGGGCTGTTTGACAAGTGAAAGGGCCTGAGTCAAAGCACGCGCGCGCGCACACACACACACACTGACTGTATTGAGTGGGGAGCATTGCTGTTGTCATCATGTGCTCATGGACTTCACATAGGCATTGCTTTGGCCACGGGGAGGACAGAATGCTGGACTTTGTGGGCCTTGGGTCTGATCTAGCAGGGCTGTTGTTACATTTTCCAGGACCAAACAAGTGGGCACAGAGCAGTGGCAGTGGATCTATCTTCCTTTTGGTTTCTTCTTTGGACCCAGATTATTCATATATAGATGATCTACATAAGTAGTAAAATGGTCATTGATATAAAATAAGTTATACTGAGGACAAAAACAGAAGAGATATGGGAAATCCATTATTAGATCTCCCAATATTTAAGTGTTTACCTAAATCATGAAAGGCTCCAGGTTTTATTAGAAAAGTGGAGTGTGTGGCAGGGTGGAGACGACATGCCATTTCTCCATTTTTGGTCTCCTGCCCCACCGACTTTGCTCTGGTACTGGTGAGGAAGAGACTTCAGATCAGGGAAATGGATTTACAGAAGAGTTAAACCTATCTTCCCGCAGCTCAGTTGCTCTGATCAAATTCATCCCCTATAGCTCTTTTTACGTTATAATTAAATGTTGGCATAGGTTTCCTGAGTCTCACATATTTTTGCCTTAAATAAGTTCACTACTTTATTACAGATGTTCCTGCCTAACCTGTTACAGCTCTCAGTCATGAAAGCTTAGGCTTAAGTGCTCATCCTGTTACTTTTTTCTAAATTACTATTTTTTCCCCCTTGTATAGTTTCTACTCATTTTCCACAAAGCTGCAGCTGGGGAGCTTGAAGAAGACAGTGGCCTGCTAGCTTTGGCAAAACTTTCCGAAATAGATGTCGCCCTTGAGGGAGTGAAAGGAGCCAAGAACTTCTTTGAAGCAAAGGTAGGAAAAACATAAGGGGGGAGGGGTTCATATTAGGCTGCAATCTTAATCACCCTAGGAAGTATGCCCCATTGAACACAGGGAGTTTTACTTCTGAGTAACCATGTGTCGGATTCTGCTGTATGTCAACTCAATGATACCACCTAGAGCACAAGTTAACGATTCACACTGGGAAAGTGGTGCACCTGGAAATTTCCCTGCTTTAATGTAAACCAGAGTGCTGTGTTAAAAGCTGAAAGTGCAACTGTTTCAGATTGGGTGAAACTGCAACTGGAACCGAGACTGGATGAATCAGATCTAATGAATGCTTGTTCCGTTTCCTGTGTCTCACTATGAAAACAAAAGTCACATAGTTTTCTTTTTTAAAAAACAACAACCAGCCAAAAGTCAATCTTGTCGGCTACTTTTGAGATATTGTAACACCTCCCCCAAATCTTTGTATGGTGGGAGCTTTCCGCACCCCAGTGCTTTCCATGTGTTTTGGACTACAGTTCCCATAAGTGCTGGCTGGGGCTGATGGCAGTTGTAGTCCAAAGCACATGGAAAGCATCAGGTTGGCGAAGACTGTGCTGTGAATATACAACATGATCTGCCCCTCTCTGCAGATAATTCCAATTGCATGGTAAAGTCTCATGGGCCAAGACCAAGGGCAGATGATAACTGTCATCTATTAAGTTCAGTACTGATAACTCTTCTATATTAGTACCCCTGGTGCTTGGTCACAATATATTTTTCTCCCTAAATTAAATTACCCTCTCATTTTACAGTAAATCAAGGTGAGCACAACTAATCAGGGCATTTAACCATATTCTGAACTAAAATAGTGTTTGGTTGACACCAAGATAGCTGACTCTGGTCACCTGGATGTAAACAGAACCATTGGGCGTGCAACCTGTGGTATTACAGTGGTATCTCAGGTTACATACGCTTCAGGTTACAGACTCTGTTAACCCAGAAATAGTACATCAGGTTAAGAACTTTGCTTCAGGATGGGAACAGAAATCGCAGCGCAGCGGCAGCAGGAGGCCCTGTTAGCTAAAGTGGTGCTTCAGGTTAAGAACGGACCTCTGGAACGAATTAAGTACTTAACCCGAGGTACCTCTGTAGTTACACTGCACAGGCTAGAGAAATAGCTGTGCTTAACAGCCTGAGGACTCAGATGGTTTGCAGCATATAGTTTTTCATACGTGCCTCTTCTGAACTTGTTACTAGTCTGGGAGATGCAAGCATTATCAGGGTGTGTGGATGAGTCCATTGTGGGTTTTAGTTAAAACACCATCCTTTCTCCCAGATCAAGTTCAGGGGAAATTAAGTATCTGTCAGTACTGGAAGCTGTGTACAACTCTGGCTAGAACTGGTGATCTCACAGTACCTGTAGGGCAACTAAGAGCTAGCTGTCTTAGATAAGTGAAATAAGTTTCCAATGATGGAATACAGGGGTAGGAATCCTTTTGCCCCTCAAGCCAGATGTTTATATATCTCCCCCGCCCCTTGCAGGCCAACTTTGGCAAGTTAGCCAACAGAATTAAATTTCTGCCCCATCAACTGTCACCCCATGGCACCCACTGGTTGACAGGTGGGTGTGGTTTGGGGAAATGGCCTCATGGGCCAAATTGGACCCACTGTTAGGCCAAAATTGTCCCACAAGCCAGAGGTCCCCTACCCCAGATGTAATACAAACCCATCTCTCAATCTTTCCTTTGTGTTACAATTTTATTCCTCTATTTCTAGGTTCAAGCTTTGTCCTCAGCCAGTAAGTTTGAAGCAGAGATAAAAGCAGAGCAAGATGAGCGAAAACGTGAGGAAGAGGAGAGACGTCACCGCAGAGCAGCCTTCCGAGAACTCAAGTCTGCATTCAGTCAATAACTGAGGCAACCTATCGGCCACCTGAGGGACTTTGTACAATCTTACAAGTTTTGCCTTTGACAAGGCGAAGGACCAGGAGAGGGAACAAAACTGATTTGAAGCCTTTTCTTTTCTTTTTCTGAGCCTCCTACCTAGATGCTGGGGGGGGGGGTGTGTGCCATACACACAGTGGCATTCAGAACGGTGCAAAACCAGGAGTGGTTCAAGCAACCCCCTTTATTTCTGTAATAGGCATTGCTTAGAAGAATCAAAATGTCCTAATGCTTTAGCCTGAGGCAGATGATTGAAGCACCTGATAATAGTGCTTACCATTTGCATCTTGGTCAGAAAACACTCCTTGTGTCCTTCTGAATGTCTCTGTGTCATAGCTCTGTAATTTCCCTCGGGCTTCCTTTCTGTATACCTTTTGACTCCTCCTGAGTTTTACAAAACCATTTCTTGCTTCTAAACAAGCTGACCCTTCTTCTAGGTGCAGATCACAATCCTTTCATGTGCAAATAAATGCCCCAATTCCTAATGTATCATTCTTTTCCGTCTTTGTGCTCACTATTGGGGGTGGAGGGAAAAGACGACAGCTTTCTGGTACAACAGCTCCCCAGTAACGAAGGGAAACCCAGTTAGTAAATATTGGCTGAGATCCAAAGAGCTTCTTGGGTGAATAGCAGGCACGTCTTCCACTCAATCCTCAAATTCTTGTGCAAGCCAATGCCACCCCACTCCTCCAATGCAGCCCCCACATTGCATATCCTCCATCATCCCTTGACCCCTGCAAGCAGGTTTTCAAGGGGACACAAGGTACCATGACTTGAAAGAGGTGGCAGGAAAACCTTGTTGTGTGGGCAGAACTCTACTCATGCTTTTCTGGGTCCAAGCCATTTTTTAACTCATAAAGATTCTGTTCAGGGATACAGCAGTCACCATTCAATTTTACCCTTTCCATGTATACAAACGACTGTACTTTTTGAGCAACAAATAGAACTGCTAAGTTCTGGCCACATTCCATTGCATTCTCTGTGTAGGTCCATAGCTGTTTTCCACTTTCTCCTTTTTATTTTTTAAAGCCATTGGATTTTAAGAAGCAAGGAAACATCAATCAATAAGATGTTCAGTGAAGTGGATTAGTACAGTTTTGGGGACACAGTGGCTTCCCACCCCATGGAATTTTTAATCTTCTTGCAAACATTGGTGCAAATGAAAGAGCTTCTGTAGAGTTAACACTTACATAAAACAGCCAGTTCTGCTTGCAAGAGAAAATAGATTCCGAAAGCAGCATGTTACTCTGCTCAGAAAGCTTGTACTATATTCAGAACTTATACTTGTGTGTATATATCTATATCTTCATGTATAGAAAAGGAAAACATCTTCTTCCTTGCCAAGCTTGTCATCTGATCATAAACTGGATCTCTCATCCTCAACTTTATTTTCACTGTCTTTTAGCTTTTTACACTGTGACACTAAACTGTGAGTGTGGAATAACAAAGGGAGCCCATCTGATATTTAATAATGGGTGGGGAAATTGCTAAACAATTTTTTAAAACTGTATTTGCAAGACCACAGATTATATTTGATAAAAATCACATGTTTTAGCTAAAATATTTATAATAAATGTTTTTATACATGCAAAAGTTTGATTTTTCTTCCCCTGTTGCTTAGTTATGCAAATAAAACTTCTAACTTGCTGGAGGCTAACTTGAAATCCTTTTATTCTGTCTCATCCTTCATGGGAGATACAAACCTCGATCCGGGATTTAGTATTTTTTAATATAATTGCTACTTTATATATATTGTGCTTTGTTTAATATGTTTTATTGTATTGTATATACAGTGGTACCTTGGGTTAAGTACTTAATTCATTCCGGAGGTCCGTTCTTAACCTGAAAACTGTTCTTAACCTGAAGCACCACTTTAGCTAATGGGGCCTCCTGCTGCCACCGCACCGCTGGAGCACGATTTCTGTTCTCATCCTGAAGCAAAGTTCTTAACCCGAGGTAATATTTCTGGGTTAGCGGAGTCTGTAACCTGAAGCGTATTTAACCCGAAGTACCACTGTATTGTAAATCCATTTGAGACCTTTTTTAAAGTGTAAAGTGATTACTGGTGTAGTAAATCAATTCTCACTGACCACTGTCCACACGGCTGATAGGAGTCCAAGGACATATAGAGGGCCAACAGTTCCCTCTCCTTATTCTAGAGAGTCTATGAATAGGCAATGTCCTAGATCCAACTATTTAACTTCCCTCCCCACCATCTTCTGTAAAATTCCTGCGAAATGACCTAGATCAATATGCCACTTTTGGAGCTATTTTGAGCTTTCTATTTGATGAGAGAGAGTGGCTGCTTGTCTTTGGGATTCGGGCTAATAGGCTGACTTGTTCCAAAGCCCTTTAACTACCTGTTTCCTAGTTTGGATGAAATAGGGAAATGTTTATTTGTTTTTAATAATATTTATAAACTGTCAACTGAAAAACAAATAATGGTTGTGTATAATGAAGTAGCTGAAAACATCATACTGTACAATGATCAGATCCATAGCTAATGGAATACTTCCTTCCTGGTTTGTTTGCTGGCTCACGTGAAGGGACTGTGTGCATGGCCAATATGATTCTTTGCACGCTGACTTTTTAAGCTAAGAGATGATCATTCAAATGCAGTCAGTCTGTAAAGAGATTTTTTACTTGTTTCTTTATTTTGAAGGGGGGAAAATGAAATTTCAGTTAAGGAAGCACTGAACAACCTATCCTTGCCTATTGCAATTGCCTTTACAGGGGCTTGAACTGGAAAAAAGAAACTACAAGGCTATCAGTGACAGGATGAAGGGTAAATCATAGGACATTTAATTGAATGATTATTGGGTTTTCAGCTTTGCACTATTAATTAAAATTCCTGTTGTTTAAGCACCACCTACTGGAGGGTCTCAGAACTGTCACAAATTTTAAGAAATGCTCCAGAGAGGTAGGTCTTGCTCCAGCTGTCTGAGCACAGCTCCTTCAACACGGTGCCTCCAATCCCCCTCCTGCTCAAGAGGCATACATGGGAACAGTATTCTTCTGATGTCAGCAGTATCCATCTTGCTAGGATTATGCAGTATATAGTACTATGACATATGGAAATTAGGGCCCATCCACATTTCTGCTTTTCCTGTACCTAGAAAGCACGGGTTTGAATGGTTTTCTGCTTGTCCTGTGCTTTCTAGGTACAGGTCCAAGCAGTTTTCTGTCTGCCCCACTGCTTTCCCTTAGACTGTATGTGTATTCTATAATGCACAGTGCTGAAATCTGTAAATATTATTATTTATTGAAGTTATATACCGCTCTATACCCAGAGGTCTTGGGGCAATTCACATAAATATATATATATATATATATATATATATATATATATATATATATATATTTGCTTTCGTAGATTTTCACGGGTACAGGAATGCAGGTTTTGGTGTCCTCGGGTGTCTTCCCGTGTAAAAGTTGGGGTGTCTAGGCGACGTTTCGACGAGGTCTCACTCGTCATCTTCAGGCTGGTGCTTTCGGCTTCTTGTTACTGGAACAGAGCAGGATCTCAGTGTTTGAGTTCCTATAAATACTGTTGAGGGGGTGTGGTGTATAGCCTCCAATGTTCTGGGCAGAGAGGAAGTTCCCAGGTTAGTGTGCCTTTTCTTCTTTTGTTCCTTAATTACTTGAGGGATATCTTGAGTGATTTCTTGAGTGATATCCTGAGTACCACTTAGGTGGGTCATTAGGTGTGGATTAGTTGCTAAAGCCTTCGTGTCTTGACCTCTTGAACTTTGTGAAGAGTTTTTCTGAGAAGATGGCTGTACTGCAATTAGTTGTGCTCCCAATGACCTACTTGTGAGCTTCGATGTTGTATCTCTCTTCACACAAGTGCCCATTAATGAAGCCTTGACAGCCATTCAAAACAAATACAATCCCCCCGAATACATCCTGGACCTGACCAACCACTGCCTAACCAACACGTACTTCATCCACAATGGACAAAGATACAAACAGATAGAAGGAGCACCTATGGGATCACCACTCTCACCGGTCATCGCAAACCTGTACATGGAACACTTTGAAACCAATGCTTTAGACAAGTCAGAACACAAACCCAAACTTTGGCTCAGATATGTTGACGACACCTTTGTAATTTGGCCACACGGGAAGGAAAAACTAGATAGCTTCCTCACACATCTCAACAGCCTACACCCCAAAATACAATTCACTATGGAAATAGAAGCCAACAACCAACTTCCCTTCCTTGACGTCCTAATCTACAAAAAACCTGATGGCTCCCTAGGACACACTATCTACCGGAAAAAAACACACACCAACCGCTACTTACATGCACAATCACACCACCACCCTGCACAAATAAACTCCGTAGCCAAGACTCTCATCTCCAGAACCAAACGCCTGGCTGACAAAGACCACTTGACAACTGAGTTACAGAATCTCTCCAATGTGTTAATCGCCAATGGATACCAGCAAAACAGGGTTACGAAGCTAATGCAAAAAGAAACACCCCCCAAAAACCAAGACACAGAAGAAAACAATGGCATGGCCCTCCTTCCTTATATCAAGGGCACTACAGATAAAATTAGCAAAATCCTCCATAAACACAATATCAAAACAGCCTTTTGCACCAACCAAAAAATAGCCAATATCCTCAGAAACCCCAAGGATAAAATCCAGTTGGAAAACCAAGGGGTCTATGAAATACCCTGCAAAGTCTGCCCAGCCACGTACATTGGACAAACAAACAGACGAGAAATGCACGTATCGCAGAACACAAGAATGCCGTCAAAAAAGAAGAAAAAACTTCCTCTCTTTTCCAACACATGAAAGAAACAGGACACGAAATTAATTTTGCAGATTCCAAATTGCTCTCTAACATGGAACATCACCACAAGAGAATAATCATGGAAGCCATCGAGATAGAGAAACACCCTCACAACATGAACAAGCGTGACGACACATCCCGCCTGCCAGACATCTGGAAATTAGCCCTCCCCACAAAAACCGACACCAGATCCAGAGGCACACAGAACGCCATCACCAATCAACCACACCAGACCCAAACCCAGACCCTCTCCACAGATAAATTACAGACACCATCCAGTAGCCAAACCATGGTGGCACCTCCGGATGCTGCACCCCCCTGCAATCCCTACACAGATCTGGCTGGCACAGGACACAAAACCACAGCTCGCCCCTATACACGAAGCCAAGCCAGAGCACAACTAATTGCAGTACAGCCATCTTCTCAGAAAAACTCTTCACAAAGTTCAAGAGGTCAAGACACGAAGGCTTTAGCAACTAATCCACACCTAATGACCCACCTAAGTGGTACTCAGGATATCACTCAAGAAATCACTCAAGATATCCCTCAAGTAATTAAGGAACAAAAGAAGAAAAGGCACACTAACCTGGGAACTTCCTCTCTGCCCAGAACATTGGAGGCTATACACCACACCCCCTCAACAGTATTTATAGGAACTCAAACACTGAGATCCTGCTCTGTTCCAGTAACAAGAAGCCGAAAGCACCAGCCTGAAGATGACGAGTGAGACCTCGTCGAAACGTCGCCTAGACACCCCAACTTTTACACGGGAAGACACCCGAGGACACCAAAACCTGCATTCCTGTACCCGTGAAAATCTACGAAAGCAAATATATATATATATATATATATATATATATATATATATTGTAAATTCAGACTAGACACCTTGAGTGTCTCCTAAGAAGTGTTACCTATGTTTGAAACTTCTGCACAGTTCCTTCAACAAGTTCCTGACTTTAGCAGTGAGCAATAAAAAACTATGGTGGTACCACAAGTTAAGCAGTGTGCCGACAGAGGATACAAAACTAGGTTGGGCAGATGGGTTTAACCAAGAGCTGCACTCATGGCATACCAATGAGAAGGTTTCAAGGCAATTATGGTCTCCAGGTAAAGGTAAAGGTACCCCTGCCCGTACGGGCCAATCGTGTCCGACTCTAGGGTTGTGCGCCCATCTCACTTAAGAGGCCGGGGGCCAGGTCACGTGGCCAGCGTGACAAGCTGCATCTGGCAAGCCAACGCAGCACACGGAAACGCCGTTTACCTTCCCACTAGTACGCGGTCCCTATTTATCTACTTGCACCCGGGGGTGCTTTTGAACTGCTAGGTTGGCAGGTGCTGGGACCGAGCAACGGGAGCGCACCCCGCCGCGGGGATTCGAACCACCGACCTGACAATCGGCAAGTCCTAGGCGCTGAGGTTTTACCCACAGCGCCACCCGCGTCCCATTATGGTCTCCAGGTAGTGAAGGGAAAACACCTATAATGCTACCAGGCAAGTTTTTTAATGGGCTTTTAAAGAGGTGGCAACTTGGCAATTGCACTGGTGTTGACTGAAGGAGTAAAGTATGGTGTAATGAGCAGATTAGGTGCAGGGATTCTTCAGACCCTGGCTCATTGCCAATGTGCTTGAAACATAGGGATCTTTTCCTAGTACTGAGAAATTCTCACCATATAATCAGGGAGAATCCTTTTATTACCTAAGTAATATAGGGCACCTTTTAGCCATGAGGCCCGCAAAACAGCTTATAATTAAATGAAATAATACAACATAAGAAACTTAAGAAAACCAAATGCACAGCAACAATCTACCTCATGTATGTTAACAGCAATCTTCACTCTGGGAAAGCCTGG